GTGGGTCTCCTAACGACTGGCCCGTCTCCGCATTCCATAGTCGAATCGTATGATCGCGCGAGCCAGAGACGATTCATGAGCCGTCTGGTGAGAATGCGACGGCTGACCGAGCTTGTGTGGCCTTCGAGTGGGTCTCCCAACGACTGGCCTGCCAGTTCTCCGCATTCCGAGTCGAATAGTGCGATCGCGCGAGCCAGAGATTCGTCGCGAGCCGTCAGGCGAGAATGCGAAGGCGCTGACCCAGTGTGGCCCCGGGGGCTCTCCCAACGACTGGCCTGTCTCCGCATTCCATAGTCGAATCGTATCTATCCGAGCCAGAGACGATTCGCGAGCCGTCTGGTGAGAATGCGACGGCGCTGACCCACCTGTGTGGCCTCGAGTGGGTCTCCCAACGACTGGCCCGTCTCCGCATTCCATAGAATCGAATCGTCTTATCATTCGAGCCAGAGACGATTCGCGAGCCGTCTGGTGAGAATGCGACGGCGCTGACCCAGTTTGTGTGGCCTGAGTGGGTCTCCCAACGACTGGCCTGTCTCATCCCATAGTCGAATCGTAAAGGGACATTATCGAGCCAGAGACGATTCGGCCAGCCGTCTGGTGAGAATGCGATTTGGCACCAATCTGAGTGGCCTCGGAGTGGGCCTCCCAGCGACTGGCCTGTCTCCGCATTCCCCATAGTCGAATCGTATGATCGTGCGAGCCAGAGACGATTCGCGAGCCGTCTGGTGAGAATGCGACGGCGCTGACCCAGTTTGTGTGGCCTCGGAGTGGGTCTCCCAACGACTGGCCCGTCTCCGCATTCCATAGTCGGATCGTCTTATCTTCCGAGCCAGAGACGATTCGCGAGCCGTCAGGTGAGAATGCGACGGCGCTGACCGAGCTTGTGTGGCCTCGGAGTGGTTCTCCCAACGACTGGCCAGTCTCCGCATCCCATAGTCGAATCGTATTATCATCCGAGGCAGAAACAATTCGCGAGCCGTCTGGTGAAAATGCAATCGCATTGACATCCTTTGTATGTCCCCGAAGCGCTTCTGGCAGTCCCCGGTATGACTTTTCCAGCCCTTTAGTCACTTTGAGAGTGTTACTATACATTGATAACCCCTCCATATGCATATGTGATCCTGTAGGTGTGAACGGAAGCGCCGAGATGTAGATATGTGGAGCACTCTCTTGAATAGGTACTGAAAACGCCATCATAAACCGCATCACTTCATTTATGCGACCCTTAGTATCTTTTTCAACCTTTCCTTTGTTAAAAATGCGAATATACCGAGGCGAGCCACTCACACTATTGCGCATCACAGCTCGGAGCCCATCTATAGCTCGAGGCAGTCCTCCAATCAAGCTCAGAACCTCCATCCAATGTAGTACATATGGGACTCGAATCATATGTTCAACTTCATTCTTGAGCTTGCTTCTCCATTTGCTATCCGTTTCGGCCATATGAAACGGCCAGTGTAAACTCGCATATCGAACGTTCATTCTGATGAACTTTGATATTCTTGCCTCTAGATCCGGCATCTCTCTGTTTCGATAGAAGGACGACTCGATTTCACATATATTGAACTTGAGGCCTTCCTTCGGTGCTTGAAGTTTATTGAAACCCCACGATGCAATTTGACCGTGTGCATTGGCGATGTCGATATACATTCCACTTGGCTCTTTGAGGTCTGGGCCTAGACAGCGCCGTCGCAGATATTCCACAAGAGTAGGGTGACGAAACTGAATGACTTTTGTTGCTTCATCTTCGATAAGAACACTTCCAAGTTCTCGAATCAACACCCTGAAGTGTCCCCGTAGTCTACTATGCTTGAGAATGTTGTCTAGATCCTCGGAGGTAAGTGGTTCGAATGCAGCGAGCAGTAGTGCAAGCATGCTCCACATGATGGTATGGAATTTGGGATCTATCCGCTCGAAGATGAGCTTGTATACGTCGTCAATGTCTCCACTCTGGTCCAATAAGACCAATGAGTCGTATATGTTCTCAGGCGTGTCCCATGTTGTTTCGTTGTTGATCATTCGACATGCGGTGCTCGCCCAGATGAACAACCCCCTCGCCTTCTCAATCAGCCGCCGTCTCTTGTCCTCGGGTAGAACAGTGTAGAGTGATTGATGGACATACGTCGCGATGTCATCTACATTGTCACGATGTTTGACATCATGCAACCGGTCTTCCAATTTACATTTGATCGAGAGTGGTTGAAGAACCGATTCGATGACGGCGTCTGGCCGACTCGTGATGAATACCTTGAGGTTCTTGCTTTGTCGAACGGCTTTAGCAAGCGTGTCCACAAGTTCCTTTCGCTGAGGTCCAGATTTGCATTCGTCTATGGCGTCGATGACAAGAACTACGCGTCCGTCTCGATGACGGAGTGGATCGATGATGAGTGTGTGGAATTGTTCCTCTAACGAACCCCGCATGATAGATGGGTTCCGTTTGACGGCATCTGCGACGTGGGGTGCGAGTTGGGGAATGTGTTGGGCAAGGTCTCTTGCCATGGTCGAGCAGAACTTTTCTATTGTCGATGTATCGCTATTAGCTATGGAGAAAAAGAATTGGCCTCCTAGTGTTCCCTCGACATGCCAGGATGCGGCTGCCGACATTGCAACTGTGGACTTGCCAGAGCCGGCTATGTCGCAGAGCCAGAATATTGGTTTGTCTGAGGTATCGTCCTCAGCCCAATTCTGGATTGTCTGAAGGACAGCCTGACGCGTTCCTTGTAGACAGGTTCTGTGGACCGAGGATGGGGCGGATGCCACCATCGGGAGTTGGAATATAAAGGATGCGTCGACTTGGAGCATTTGAGTGAACGTCGTGCAAGCAAGTCCTAGCTTACCGTCTGAGGAGACTGCTTCTACCTTGTGTTCGATGGCATGAACTCGGTAGCCCGTGAAGAGGGCCAACGCTTCCTATTTAGTGTGTGAAATTAGGATGATATAGCCTGGTGCTCTCACCATGAACTGCCTATGCCGGTCCTCGATATCGCGATTGAATTTACGAATGAGCCCTGCGTCGACCTTTACTTTTCCGATGGCCGTAAAAGCACCGTGGCTGGTGCGGGGTCGCGTATGCCTATCATTGACGATAGCGCAATGAATATCCTCGAGAACTCTGCGTCAATCAGTCGACTGCGCCAGAGTAGATGTGCCACTACTTACTCGACATAACGAACGAGTGGTTGGCTAAAAGCCCGTCGACAACCCTATCCTGTGGAGGATACTCGAGCGAGTCGATTTGGTTCTCACAGCCCACATGTATTCCTCCAGACGGCGTACAAGGTCACTCCAGTCTCCTTGATTATCGTCGATGGCCTATGATAACCGTCAGGCGACATTATGCGGGTTTGTGTGCTTACCTGCTTGACGTCGATGATTGACTTTGTTGCTCTGCAGGCTGCTTTGAGAGGAGCGAGGATATCCGAGGCCTCTGCTATGTTTGCGACTACATCCAGTGCGATACTGGCCGTATTTTGGACTTGATCCTTCTTGCCTGGCGATCGTCCTGCAGCATTCGAGGGCCCCTGATTCAGTTTAGTCGACTTTTGAGATGACATTGCGGAGGTGGAATCCAAGTCAAGGACGGCGTCTACCACTCTCTGCCGCATATTCTCCACGAGCCAGTCGAATCTAACTATTAGAGTAACAATACATCCAGTCTTAATGCACGATTCCGACAGTCCAGGGAGCAGTCAAAGGTCTCTAACCTTGGCGAGTCGTCCAATGGCCCCTGCGTGTGTAGACTGCACGATTCGCAATTGGAACGCGGCAATTGTAACAGCGACTCCGAGGATACGCTGACTAGATCACGGCTATCGCGCTCACCAGACGACGCCAGATTGTCTCTGGCAGTATACAATACCCGACATTGGGACGTAGACAGTGGGCGGCAATCAGGGCAACCACTTTGAACTCACAGCCAATTGGTAGAGCAGAGGTCACCATATTCACGCGTATGACAGAGTTTAAGAAGACAGATGACGAAGTAAGGAGAGAGAAGGAAATGACATTCTCGACTATCCCATATCTGTCGTAATAATATACAGGTGAGCAAGGACGAGTATGCCTGCTCTACCAATCTTCCCAGAGTGCGCCGGTTCGTGCCAATGGGTAAGAGACACTGGTTGCAAAAAAAGGAAAATGGGGTTCAGAGGACCTGATACAGTTGGAGAGAAAGGATGGGGTCAAAGTAGTGAGGAACTCAAGGACGAGAAACGTCATTTGGATTGACACCGTCGAGATTTCGAGGTGCAACAAAGAGAAAGAAAGAAAAACTGATAGGTGTGCTGGTGGTACGAGTTCAGAATAGTCTGGACGGTTGTGTCATGGAAAGCGACGCTGCTAGGCATGCTTTTCACTCTTCATGCAATGCCATAAGCAATTGTTTTCCTGTTCGAGGATTTTACTGGCTGCGTTTCCAGGTAATTGGCTGTCTTAAACTGTCACGGGAGAGTTCGAGTGTCGCTTCCTTTGGACCCGACGTCGTCGACCACCAATCTGTCGCGTCTCTAGCTGTTGAATTGCCAACAGACATTCCACATTCACAATTATTTCGAGATCCCAGTCCGTCTCCTCATTTCAGCTTTTGTGACCGCTGCCGCCTCAGTGGAATTTAACAAGACAATGTTCCCAATACTATTCAAATAAATTACGTTCTCTGAGACATTGGCTCGTGTTGCCAAACTCTCTTTGCCAGCCTCCTGAACTGTCCAGCAAAGGACGAGGCTTGACCTCTACCTCTACCAGGCGGCTGAATTTGCAGCGCTCCTGTTATACACGCGCTACTACTCAGCTTGTGCGATTCTTACGAGCCCGTGCTCCCACCAATCCGGACGTCCCACGAACGGTTAGCCAATATCCAACCCTGTAAAGCCAGATCCCAATATCTTACAGTTCTCCGATGTCAAAACCGGAGATCAAAGATTATGGATTCAAGGAGTTATTCCCCGGAAAGGAGCCCGTCGTCGAGTAAGCCATCGACCCCGCCACCGCTGCCGCGATTGCTTATCGCTACCTTCGCTGCATCAGCGTTGTTGCTATCCATGGTTTAGACGGTCATAGAGAGAACACCTGGACGGACGGTGGAATCCTTTGGCTGCGCCATTTCTTGCCCCTCTCGTTGCCCCGCGCTAGAGTTCTCACGTACGGGTATGATGCCGATACTCAACACGAGACATGCGTATCGACACAGAATATACATCGGCATGCTCAGAAGCTAGCTCAGTCCCTTTCAATGAACCGTAAAGACGACCCTCGTGTGCGTGCAGACTGTACTTGTTTGGTGACTTCCTCTCATCCATCTTAGCGTCCCATCATCTTCATCGCACACGATCTTGGAGGTATCATTCTCAAAAAGGTTTATCAGATGAACGATAATTCAACTAGATGCTGACAGTCTCCAGGCACTTGTCATCTGCCACAATCAGACTCTAGATTCGGAAGGAGTCCTCCGAGGTATTCTGGTATCCACACATGGCATCTTATTCTTTGGAACACCACACTCTGGTCTGGACGGCAACTTTCTTGAAAGGCTCAAGCGCTCGGCACCCTGGCGCATGAAAACGACCGAGGTGATCACAAAAGATCTCGAGGCACACTCGTCCGAACTCGAAAATATACAAAGTTTGTATGTCGAAGCGAGTAAGAAGATAACCAGCGTATTCTTCTGTGCGGATTACGCAAACGCCACGAATGAAAAGCGACCACAAATGGTTAGTAGAACTATCCACGGATGGAATCAGTACTGATCAGACCCTAGAATGTTCCATACCACTCGGCGACCATCCCGGGCGACCGTAATGCCACAACGATTGTCCTCTCGTGTGACCATCAGAATCTGGTCAGATTTTCTGATCCAACGAGCGAAAGCTACCAGACGGTTCTGTATTATCTCGACGCGTGGTGCAAGTCGGCCCCCGATTCGGTGAAGGGCAACTGGAATATAGAGGACAACTTGCGCAGTTCGTCAAATTTTCATTCCAAATAATTGGCTCTCATTCGCATTCAGGTTCTGCCAAAGGAAATCATCATCCATCGGGTGAGTTGGACTGCTGTAGCCGAAAAACTTGCTAAGAAGTTCCAAGTCGACGCATCCTTTATATTCCAACTCCCGATGGTGGCATCCGCCCCATCCTCGGTCCACAGAACCTGTCTACAAGGAACGCGTCAGGCCGTCCTTCAGACAATCCAGAATTGGGCTGAGGATGATACCTCAGACAAACCAATATTCTGGCTCTGCGACATAGCCGGCTCTGGCAAGTCCACAGTTGCAATGTCGGCAGCCGCGTCCTGGCATGTCGAGGGAACACTAGGAGGCCAATTCTTTTTCTCCATAGCTAATAGCGATACATCGACAATAGAAAAGTTCTGCTCGACCATGGCAAGAGACCTTGCCCAATGCATTCCCGAACTCGCACCCCACGTCGCAGATGCCGTCAAACGGAACCCATCCATCATGCGGAGTTCGTTGGAGGACCAATTCCGCACACTCATCATCGATCCACTCCGTCATCGAGACGGACGCGTCGTTCTTATCGTCGACGCCATAGACGAATGCAAATCTGGACCTCAGCGAAAGGAACTTGTCGACACGCTTGCTAAAGCCGTCCAACAAAGCAAGGAACTCAAGATATTCATCACGAGTCGGCCAGATGCCGTCATCGAATCGGTTCTTCAACCACTCTCGATCAAATATAAATTGGAAGACCGGTTGCATGATGTCAAACATCGTGACAACGTAGATGACATCGCGACGTATGTCCATCAATCACTCTACACTGTTCTACCCGAGGACAAGAGACGGCGGCTGATTGAGAAGGCGAGGGGATTGTTCATCTGGGCGAGCACCGCATGTCGAATGATCAACAACGAAACAACATGGGACACGCCTGAGAACATATACGACTCATTGGTCTTATTGGACCAGAGTGGAGACATTGACGACGTATACAAGCTCATCTTCGAGCGGATAGATCCCAAATTCCATACCATCATGTGGAGCATGCTTGCATTACTGCTCGCTGCATTCGAACCACTTACCTCTGAGGATCTAGACAACATTCTCAAGCATAGTAGACTACGGGGACACTTCAGGGTGTTGATTCGAGAACTTGGAAGTGTTCTTATCGAAGATGAAGCAACAAAAGTCATTCAGTTTCGTCACCCTACTCTTGTGGAATATCTGCGACGGCGCTGTCTAGGCCCAGACCTCAAAGACTCGAGTGGAATGTATATCGACATCGCCAATGCGCACGGTCAAATTGCATCGTGGGGTTTCAATAAACTTCAAGCACCGAAGGAAGGCCTCAAGTTCAATATATGTGAAATCGAGTCGTCCTTCTATCGAAACAGAGAGATGCCGGATCTAGAGGCAAGAATATCAAAGTTCATCAAAATGAACATTCGATATGCGAGTTTACACTGGCCGTTTCATATGGAGAAAACGGATAGCAAATGGAGAAGCAAGCTCAAAAATGAAGTTGAACATATGATTCGAGTCCCATATGTACTACATTGGATGGAGGTTCTGAGCTTGGTCGGAGGAGTGCCTCAGGCTATAGATGGTCTCCGAGCTGTGATGCGCAAAACTGTGAGTGGCTCGCCTCAGTAAAGTCGCATCGTTTAACAAAAGAAAGATTGAAAAGGAGACTAAGAATCGCATGGATGAAGTAATGCGGTTTATGATGGCATTTTCAGTACCTATTCAAGAGAGTGCTCCACATATCTACATCTCGGCGCTTCCCTTCACACCTACACAGTCACAGCTGCACATCGAAGGGCTATATGTATATAAGAACACTCTCAAAGTGACTAAAGGGCTGGAAAAGGCGTACCGGGGACTTCCAGAAGCGCTTCGGGGACATACAAAGGAAGTCAGGGCAATCGCATTTTCACCAGACGGCTCGCGAATCGTCTCTGGCTCCGATGATCATACCGTTCGCCTATGGGATGCGGAGACTGGCCAGTCTTTGGGAGAGCCTCTCCAAGGCCACAGCGGCCGGGTCAGGGCTGTCGCATTCTCACCAGATGGCTTGCGAATCGTCTCTGGGTCGCATGATAGCACGATTCGGCTCTGGAATGCGAAGAATGGCCAGTCATTGGGAGACCCACTCCGAGGCCACAAAAAGTCCGTCAGCGCTGTTGCATTCTCACCAGACAGCTTGCGAATCGTCTCTGGGTCGCATGATAACACAATTCGACTGTGGAATGCGGAGAATGGCCAGTCGTTGAGAGAACTACCCTGTGGCCACACAAACAGGGTCATTGCCGTCGCATTCTCCCCAGACGGCTCGCAAATCGTCTCCGGGTCGGATGATAACATGATTCGACTATGGGATGTGGAGACTCTTCAGCCATTAGGAGGCCCACTCCAAGGCCACAAAAATAGGGTCAGTGCCGTCGCATTCTCACCAGACGGCTCGCAAGTCGTCTCCGGGTCGGATGATAACATGATTCGACTATGGGATGTGGAGACTGGTCAGTCATTGGGAGGCCCACTCCAAGGCCATACAAAGTCCGTCAGTGCCATCGCATTCTCACCAGACGGCTTGCGAATTGTCTCTGGGTCTTATGATTGGAAAATTCGACTCTGGAATGCGAAGAATGGCCAGCCATTGGGAGACCCACTCCGAGGCCACACAAAGTCCGTCAGCGCTGTTGCATTCTCACCAGACGGCTTGCGAATCGTCTCTGGGTCGCATGATACCACGATTCGACTGTGGAATGCGGAGAATGGCCATTCATTGGGAGACCCACCCCGAGGCCACACAAAGTCCGTCGGCGCCATTGCATTCTCACCAGACGGCTCGCGGATCGTCTCTGGTTCGGATGACAACACGATTCGACTATGGAATGGGGAAACTGGCCAGTCGTTGGGAGACCCACTCCAAGGCCACAGAGGCCGGGTCAGGGCCGTCGCATTCTCACCAAATGGCTCGCGAATCGTCTCTGGCTCGGATGACAACACGATTCGACTATGGAATGGGGAAACTGGCCAGTCGTTGGAAGACCCACTCCAAGGCCACAGAGGCCGGGTCAGGGCCGTCGCATTCTCACCAGATGGCTCGCGAATCGTCTCCGGGTCATATGATAAAACGATTAGACTATGGAATGGGGAGACTGGCGAGTCGTTGGGAGACCCACTCCGAGGCCACACAGACTCGGTCAGGGCCGTCGCATTCTCACCAGATGGCTCGCGGATCGTCTCTGGGTCATATGATAAAACGATTCGACTATGGAATGGGGAGACTGGCCAGTCGTTGGGGGAACCACTCCAAGGGCACACAAACAGAGTCAGTTCCGTCGCATTCTCACCAGACGGCTCGCGAATCGTCTCTGGGTCGGATGATACTATGATTCGATTATGGGATGTGAAGAGTCGGCAGTCATTGCGAGGCCCACTCCGAGGCCACACTAGCTCGGTTAACGCCATCGCATTCTTACCAGATGGCTTGCGAATCGTCTCTGGGTCGCATGATAACACGATTCGACTATGGAACGTGGAGACTGGTCAGTCGTTGGGAGGCCCACTTCAAGTCCACATAAACTCGGTCAAAGCTGTCGCATTCTCGTCAGATGGTCTGCGAATTGCATCAGGCTCAGTTGACTGCACACTTAGAGTGTGGGACACTGCATTTGGTTCGTTTAACTTCTTTTGTTTTCTCCCGTGATGTTGGAAGCTTACAAATTCCCGTAGCCGAGCTATCCAACCAGAATGGTCAGCTGAGTGAGTCGAATCAGGGTGGCCTTATCTCGCATCAAAATAACATGGCCTTACTGAGAGTTATGCTCTCCCGGCTCCGAACATTTACTCTCTCTGATGACGGTTGGGTGCATCTCTCAGGGAAACTTCTATTTTGGGTTCCACCAGACAATCGGCTCTCATTGACGTCTCCACTCCTCCTCAACTTACCAACGTCCAGCCCTCCCTACCCGACCAAACTCGACTTCACTCATTTCCACTGTGGTCCCTCTTGGACAAAAGTCCGAGGCAGCGCCAATCGATGAACCTTAGCGAGAGAAGAGAATCATTACCCTTCTTTTGTACCTACGAGGCTCAGCTATCTGATCCTGCAAATAACCACCGTAGTTTTGCAATTCAAACGTGCATGGATGAACGATCTATACCATGGCCATCGTGTTCGAACCGTACCCCTCCATATTCCAGGTGAGTTACATGTTATCCAAGATCTATCAATCATGCGAGTCCGTGAGGTGGTCATCAAAGTTCCAGAGGCCAATTGGCACGACACGATCCCAACCTACGCAACCGTCACAATGAATAGCAGCAGGAATGAAAGATTTCGCCGATTCTTCCGCAGTCCTCGTCCCACGGCACCTGCAATGTCTTCCTCCTTTGAACCCAGGTGGAAGTCCCAGTTCTTAGACAGCATCGCCAGCACCACCGCGCCACGGAGACCGTGCTTGCGTCCAAGAATTCCACCATTCTCTTGCGGTCGCATCCCAAGATATTGAACGGCGGGAATCGCCTGACTGAGCACGGCGCGTTCGCGTTCTCGTATGATTTGTATGTCTACGGCGGAAATGAACATAGTTGAAGAGCGTATCAGACGAAAAGGCCCAGAGATGATCATAGGCACCAGAAAGGTGCGGTCTGTGCATGCTGGGGATGTCGTTGGTGCATTTGAGGGATGTCGACGACTCCGAGCTCATGCTCCTATCGTTGGCGATATACAATGAGTTGACAGCTTTTATTAGATCGAGTTGGAGTCGAGAGTAGTGAAAAGCGTGAGCGCTTGTTGAGGCGAGGATGGGTAACGTGAGATTGGAAGAAGGGAATGAGAGCGAGCGGGAAATACGGGACTTGGGCCTCGGTAGGCGAGCAATGGACGGGAAAATGGCTGGAATTCTTCTTGTGTACATGATTATTGATTATTAGAGGTTTTATATACGCGCGAGAGCGCGAGACGAAACGCGGAAAGGATGAAGTCGAAACAAAAGAGGGAGGTGAGACAAAGCGGAGATGCTGCGCCGCTTAGAGAGTGTAAGAGACTAACCAGAGTGTAAGAAACTAGCTATCTAGCTCCGGGGGACTCTGGCTGGCCCGTGCCACTCGGGCGCGAGGGCGTTACAGTAGGGAGCAGACATGATCACCCAGAGGATAAAGATGCCCGCAAAGGCGAACGAGATAGGTTGGAGGTTCCATGCGATGAGATTCCATGTGCGGAAGAGGGATTAGAGATATAACAGTACACTCCATCCTGAAATAGGATGATGAAAAGGTGAGATGAAAAGCAGGCTCCTGACGGTTCCCGCATCTGGTAGATTCTGATTGTCGTAATGATGAAGACGGTCGTCTCGAAAAACATGGGGCAAATCCATATCAGCTTCATTTCCTTTGGATGAATGGCTGCGGAGCATATGCGGATAGTTGGCGAAAAGAAAATCTTGTTGCGGAATTGAAGTGAGGTCATAATGAGGACGCCAGCAATGGTGTACGAAAGGAAAAGTATGCGACGAGCACGGCGTCCAGGATAGGTCGCTCACGCTCGACAAGAGTGCGAGTACGTTCTAGAAGCAACCAGTTGCACATGGGGAATGAGATGAACGTGGCAATACTGACGTCTATGAGGTTGAAAGTACAGTTGGTCGGAATATTAGCGCAGCAAAGTGTATACATGATACCAAGTACCGACAAGCTGCCAGACATTATGTTCATTGTGATAGATTGCTGAGCACTCATCATCGTCAAAGTTGTGCATAATGCCCGGTCCTGCGTGCGTAGGTAGTGAGCATTCCGATAAATCCCTGGCGATCCGACTCACGAGGAAGTAGAACAGCTTGAGAATACTTCACCAGTTTGGCCACAAGAGCTCGATCTGGAGGATGAGGTCAATGATATATCCCCTTAATTGTGGATCCATGCGAACCCCGTTACCGATAATGAGAAGTGTGTCGTAGATCACAAGGGCGACTGCGACAGCTACGAGTGCATCCGCCTGTTAGCGGAGGCCGCAAAACGCGCGAATGTGTACAGACCATTCATCCAGCGTATGAGCCGGAGATTGTAGGCTATCTGAGTAAACGAAAGGCCGTCGTTGGCTATAGCCTCGAGCTCGATGGGACGAACCATGGGTCCGACCCGAGGGTATGCGAAGAAGGGATCGCTCCGTTCGAAGTACTTTATCTCACCAACTTGCCGACTCGCAATGCCGCAGACTGCTCGCCTGTGGCTCCCAGTTGCAAAAATAATCGATGGGAGGAATCGGACTTGGTTTGAAGCAGAGGAGAGCACGTCGGCTCCGGTTATGAAAGAGAATCAGGTACACTGGTTCGATTTGGCAAATGACAATGAGAATCAGGTACGTTGGCGTGATGTGGGAAATGGCGCTTTCATCAGCTTCGCATGCGTACTCTCGCCAGAGAACAGTCGAAGGCGGTACAGGCTATTCGGAAAACCTTGACCCGCGAACCTTTTTTTTTTGTTGACAGCCGTGAAAAATTTGTACCGGTCGCTGGCCTTGCCCAAAAATTACACTTTTGACTCCTGAATTTTTCTTTCGGTTAAAAGATGTCTTCGAGGAAATCTGGTCGTGCTCCACTGCCCGCTTCAGGTAGGACGTTCTGCAGCTCCTGGGTTTCAAGGCTAATCTACATAGAATAATTTGGACGCACGCGTACTATCAAGCTCAAGCTTAAAGTATCAAATGCGAGCAATGAAGAGGACCATCTGCCAGCCGAGAGGCCGACGTTACCCATACCAGAGGCCATCTCTCCCGTGGACTCAATTCAACCACACATTGATGTACCAGAATCTGAAGAGAGTCTAGAGGAACTCAAGGAAGAGGAGGTAGAGCCCCCCAGAAAGCGGGGCAGAGGGCGCCCCCCTGGTGCAGTGCGTATTCCTGAATCTTGGCTCACTTGGACGAATTCTTATTACATGAAATCATCTAGAAAACCAGGGCAAAGGTTGATATTGCCATGCTGCCTCCTCGTAAGCGCCATGGCGATGATCTTCCTGGTCCTCCAAGCAAAGAACGAAAGTATATCACTCGCGAGACACCCGAGCCTGATCAAATCAACACGGTGACGGATTTCGAGACCGAAATATACGTAGAGCTCGCCAGGTTATCAGTGTCTGGGAGAGGGGGGAAGAATGCCAGGGCAATTAAGGACGAATCATGCCAGACACTTGGTCCATTTGTGATGGATCAGGATACATCTTGGGGTGAACTCATCTCAAAGATAGCTAGCGAGCTTGAATGCACGCCTGAAACTGTCGTACTGACAGGCATGAGCTGAGTGTTTGTGAAACCAAAGAATTCGCGCCCTCTTCCTGTTGAGTCACGACATGAATTCATGGGTATGCGCAAACAGGTTTCAATGAACAAAGGGGAGAATACAGTCATCATCAAAGTAACTCGCCCAGAGGATGCCAACGCCACTGCTCTCACCGTAAGTAGAGAACTACCATGGTTCATGCCTAAACTCTGATATTATTCAGGTTGGCAATTCTATTTCTATACGAAGTGTTCAGCAAGATGGGAAACGCAGCGTGCATGTCCAGGGTTCGACTTCATTTGACCAGGTGAGTATTAGCATGTCATTTCTACTCTCTCTGACACATTTTGAGCATCGTGATGATGAAATTAATGCCATCAAAGATCGTCTGAAGGAGAGATACACGATTGGAATGTGCAAAAGCCATCCAACCATTCGCTGCTTTCATCATGCTCCAACAAATCTTCATCGGGAGCTCAATGAGATGCGCCTTACTGTTTGGGCTACTAAGATCGTAAGTTATTCATACTGATAAATATCTATAAATGGCCTAATACTGCTGTAGGCTCGTAACGAGGCAGATGAGCTGAAGGATCCTATCTCAAATCACTTTACCCAGAAGACCGCTCTGGGGACAAGCTCCAATCAGTGGATCACATCAAACGAAGCACCAAGCGCGTCTTTTGAGAGCGGTGTTAGCATGGCAAGTATGATGCAAATGATAGCCATGCAGAACACCGCTCTTCTAGGCCTTTTGACGAGGTCTACACCTGTGTCTGCGCATCCTGGTGGGGTCGAAAATACACAAAACAAGCGTGAAAATCGAAATGCAACAATTGGCTCGTCCCAACCTCCTCCGTTCACGGGCGACTTTGATGCATGGGGCGTTGACCATAACCTCAGCCCTGCAACGATGGCTGCACTAGATGGGCTTGGTTTTGTACCAGGTGATGATCTCGAAGAGCTCAAGTCATTATTCCCTCATGCTATCGACACCGCAAACATTAAACCAGCTGAATGGCAAAGGGCGGTGAAAGCTAGTCAGTCATACCGCTGCAAAGCGAAGATGAAGCTTCGCCAACAGGAAAAAGAGTCGCCTTAGTATGGATTCGAACCAATGTAGGTAGTATTTGTAATGACCTCGATGCAATACATCACCACTCAAGGATAATACCCAGAATGAGCAAACCACGCCTTCGCTTTCTCTTTTGTGACAACATCACATGCAATTTCCAGAGCCTCATCACCGCTCAGAGTTCCAAGATAGCGAAAATGCCGACGCAGAGCCGCCTTGACTATGAGCAGGTTGCGTGAGTCTGATATAGAGACGCTGTAAGGCATCCAATGCTTACCCGCAGCAAAACTCTCTTCTATTGAATGGAGCTCTGGTGCGTAAGGGGGGAGGAATCTGATTTTACAGCCTTTGGGGCATTAGCCACTGAGTGCTGTGTAGTAGAACTCGAATTACTGACCGGCAGCAGTGACAGCATCAACCAGATGTTGCATTTTATGAATTGAGCAGTTATCAAGTAAGAATACACTTCGAGGTAGGGGATAAGGATTCATTTTAGGCAGCTGAGGGGTCTGTCAATAGCGATCATATACAGTATGAAATATACGCACTACATCCTCCAAGATAAAGTCCAGAAACTCTAGACCATCTATGCTTCCCGTTTACAATTCGTTTGGCAATATAGCCATCAATCGTCAGTGCTGGCAAAAGGCTCCATCGCTCCCCACGAGGGAAATCAACCGTACGATGCGCGGTTTCGTCCCGAGGGCTCCATCCATATCGCCTATATAAAGTTCTTCCATCTTTACTTGACTCATCGACAGAAACAAGCTGATCTACTGTGAACATCTCTGCTGTCTCTGTCTTCCACTGCGCTATATAGTCCTCATCACGCTGTGAAGCTCTGAGACGTAGCTTCTTATATGTAAAACCACAGTCTCTAATGATTTAATACAGAGATGTGCGCGAAATTGGCACATCTTGTACAATTTGCATCCATTCATGGATCTCGTCCAGGTAGAGCTCTGGTGATGCATGTAGACGTCGCAAAGCTCTTCTCTTTGCTCTGCGTTGAGAATTCGAGGCCTTCCCCGCTGTGTAGTGGTCGGCTTGTCGACATCTCCATACTTGTTAAAATTTTCTTTCCAGCGCTGAATACTCGAGCGTGAGACACCAAGGACGCGTTCAACGTCGCTACATATGTCTGGATGCTCAGACAAAAATTGCGCGCTGTTTTATCCCCTTGCTGATGTGCTGAAATGGCATTGAAATTGGCCAGGTTGACGAAGGTGGTGTTCCAACTAGCGGAGCGTGTCCAAAGTAATTTAAATATACTATTTACAACAAAAGTTAATTTTCGATACACAAATTTGAATATTTGACTGGCGTCCTGATTTTTTGGCCTTGGTCGAGAAAATTTTCACTGCTGGGTCAAGGTTTTCCGAACTCTCTGTACCCTGTAAAGCTCTATAGCCGATTCTCTCCTGGAAAAGCAGCGCTGCTCCGGAAGTCCGGATTGACGTCGAGACACGGCTTGGTTGCGGTCGGTTATCTCAATCTGGAGGAACCGGTATCATGCGTTGACAAATGCGTTGTAGAGTTAATGAGTCGTAACCGCCCCCCTCATCATCCACTGTCCCCGTACGAGAAACCAACGCGATGTCTGGACTGATTAATATAGTACTCTTTTAGAACGACTTTTATATTTGCATCTCCCCGTCATTGTGGTAAATACGACGTAATGAATGTAACGTGAACCTTACCGTCTCGATCCGGAACCCAGAGGTTGTGGCTCGAGCCCTTTATTCGCGTTTGGGCGATCAATACGACATCCTGACCTTGAGCACTGCAGGACCAGATCTCCCGACGCTCCGATGGAGCGTCAGAGATCTTGCAAGATGGCGGCACGAGGAGTTTCAAGCACCCAAGACTTGACAAAGGTGGACATGAGCAGAGATATATGGCACGATAAACATTGGATTAGATGACACCTGGTGTTTACGGGCTACCGGCTCGACGACGTTTTGTGGGCAGACGGCGGATACTCATCATCCTCACTATACTCATCTTCATTAGCCAATTTTCTCTTCCCTCCCTTTCCCTTCATTTCGCCTAGCCCTTTTCTCGCTTTTCCAGCTCTCTTTCTGGGCTCTGTCAGGTCGAGCTGGCTCGCCGCTTCAACGTCGCCAATGGCGACCAAAGATCTGCGAAGTCGATGGACTATATACGTGATCAGTAAACAGTCTTCGTGGGCTCGGTGAGAAACTCACTGATCCTATCATCGATGGTCTCTCCAGTGCTAGGACGGCCGTCGACGATATGGGAGCAGATGACGTGTCTGCTGTAGCTCTCCCAGCTGTTCACCTTCGTTCTGCATGGCTCTTTCATCGACACCACCGCGCTTCTCCCTTGTGCGCAAATGGACCCCCCGTAGTCGCATCGGATCGTCCCCGCTGCGTAGTTGATCCTCGCTCTATCTGTTGGGGGAAAGAAGGGCCGATCGTAACATTCGGTTTGGAGAGGCTTCCGACCGCTGGCTGCGTTCAGCCGATCCGATAAACGCCGGAGTGAGGCGTATGGGCAGGCGTATCCATCATCTCCAATTGCTATTGGCAAATTAAGCTGTATTTCGAACCAGGAGAGTAGACGAAAACGTACGAAGGGCTGGCTCGTCCCAGTTGTCCTCGCGAGCTGCCAGTAGAATGAGGGGTGCCCGTTTTCCTAAGACAACTGTCAATTGATGACATCCAATAACGCAGAGACGTACTTCTGGCGGCGGAGCCGCCCAAGATGTCTGCGTCACGACCCAATACTGCGTTCGGGTCGTGACCAAGGATGTTTTGAGTCGTCCGCTAGCAGGAGATGCATCTAAGCCAGTGGAATTTGAGGGAGATACCTCGGGCTGCAGCGTCCTTTCGTCGAGAACCACTGGGCGATCCTCTGGTTCCTCCTCCCATCCGTCGAGCCGCAACTTGGCGCTTTCTGTGGGCCAGTTGGGCTCCTCTGGGGGATCGAGCTCCGACTCCGAAAAACTGAACCCTGGTTCGCTATCCGTTAGTGGCTCCTCGCGGGATAGGTATACATCGTACCGTTGGGATATCTCCCTACATCTGAGGTTAACTGCATGTTTGGAATATATAACAGATTTCTTACTCAATTCTTTTCTTGTTTTCTTCACGCTCCGCAAGATGTGCGGCCGTTTCTCTGGAGCCTGTCAGTAAGTGCGGGCGGTGCGTAATGAACACATACTCGGATACGAGTTCGTTTTATCCACGGGAGTAATCACGAGTGACTGGGCTTCGTGATTTCCAACGACTGCCTCATCATCGTCCTCTGGCCCAAAGTCGAAGTATTCGTGCCAAGGCACGTCTGCTTGAAAAGGATTTCCTGAGACTTTTATGATAAGATACACCTAAAGAGGGAGCGACGGCGCGTCTGCGTGTCGCCTGGCACGACGGTGGGAGAGAGGGGTTGCTAGACGAGGCTAGCAATCGCTTGCACGCCTCTTATAGTGTCGATGTGCGTCGGTGCTTGAAACTCTAAATTCTGCATGGGATCTCTGCCACATTGCAAGTCGGTGGGACGCCATGTCTCCTAGGAAAGCGTGTCAACACTTGCTCCTATAACGATACACAGCTATCAGATAGCTTTTATCTATTTTCTATGATTTTTTACGTTGAGATTTCAGTCTGCCACATTCCGGAGGCGAATGTAGCTTCGCTCTCTTTCTCGACTACATCGCAATGATTGAACTCGGATCGCGCCAAACCATGTCTAATCACGTATAAATCCAATTATAGACCCGTTTTCGGCGTACTCATGTAGTTCAGTAACTCGCTCTGATCCAAACGACTCTGATGTATAGGTCGCTCAAAAGGAAGCAACGCGGTGGGTGTGCGTACCTGGCCTTGCTGTGGCCACGAAGATATGATATGCTGAAATACACATGACAAATAGGCCTTTCAGTGGTCACGCCGTCTGGAGAGGAACATTCCTTCTGCTATGGCTCTCCTTCCGGCCCACGGGTCTAAGCCGACCCCCATACTCACACAGCGAATCTCCCGACCATTGTATATAGTATCCAAACTCACGTTTAGACGTAGCTGCCGTCCAATAGAATCTTCGCAGAACGGGATAAGATGCTTTTGGTTGGGGGATAACCAGTTGCATTCGACCGTTTTGAAAATATACTTTCTACAGACGTGGTTGATTCTATATCCCAAGCTCAGGCGTCATACGGGTATAGATTCCCCGCCCGACGCCAGGGCCAAAACGAACCAGATGCCTGTCCAAAACGGGGCACTTGGGCCCATCTATGGCTCTGATGACATCCAAAAACTCCATTGATTTTCGAAAGGACCACTGGAGTCCGCTCTCTAGATCATCCCATGAAAGGTCGAGGACTATTAATCCTTCTCACTAGATAGGATGCATGAGCCGCTGCCTTCTGCTGCCCTACGTTCATCGTTGAGATAATTATTTCTGGTGGCATCCATAGCATTGAAACCTCAGGCTTAACCCAAAGTACGGAAAGCGGTCGGTCGCGGAGCGTGTTCCACCTCTCGTAGTGGCAGTTGTGCCGCGGAAATGCGGTGTGCCCTGAGATTCGCCGCGGCATAACTGCGTACGCCTCTAGACGCATGAAATACTGCAGTATTGACGAAGATGAGCCTGTAATGTAGGCATGCTTGAAGAGGCGCGTGACTGTTTGGAGTGACCGACGAAGAAGGATTTGAGGAAATCAAACGTTGTCATGTAGATATATCCTCCAATATGCAGTCAATTTAAAGACGGAAATGTCTGCGGGAGAGGAGCTGTGCTCTCAGGCTCGAAATCTAGGTGAAGAAAGGTGAGCATAGGGATAAGTAGAGGTTCAGATGAGGTTGCCTTGGAGAGGTATATAGAAATGTGGGTCACCTGTTGATAACTGATGCTGAAGGACCCGCAACCGGACGTAAGCTCTTGGATTGTTGAGGCTAGGTACTGATAACACTTTCGGTTTTGGTGTGTATTCCAGTAACCTCTTAAGATGTTCTTTGGGCCACTTTCCTAGGAGAACCTCTAAATCCGAGAATACAGGACCAGGTCGCCAAGTCGCGCTCATCCACTGACATTCAAACAGGCCATGGTAGCTATATCTCAGTGGACCTGAAACGATAAATCGTCTCCTCAGCTTACCTCAGCTTACTGGCCAACTGTTGCTCGAGAGGCGGATTCAAGAGGACGAGAATTACCGCCGCGTGCGCGTTGTTGTCCATGAAATGAGCCAAGCGGCGTTCTTCTCTTGCCTCGAAAGGATTATGAGATTCCGCAGAGCGTTGCAGACAATCTCGTCAAACTCTCAACCCCCACTCGACAGCGACGCGTGAGAAAACCCACTTTGTTCAGATTTCTTGATCCCGCTGAGAGACATTCATATCCATTGCCAATTTGGCAATCAAGAATCATGAGGGACTGAATTCAGCCCATACTGAGCTGTTCGGGGCCCCGGAAGCTGTGATCAGGTGTCTCGGCATTATTCAATGTCAAAGGAACCTCAAACTCCTGGCGGTTCCACACAACCAGGGTAGCTCGAAGCGGCGGATAAAGATGGACAGCACGGAGCCATACCGCGTCACCTTGGCCCCCAATGGTTCGTCCCATCGAGATCGAGGCCATGCACAACGATGGCCTGTCGTTCGTTCAAATAGCTCGCAACCTTCAGCTTATGCGCTGATGAACGGTTGGTAGTATTTGCTCGTTTGCAAGCCTCGGCTGATATATCTACTCGTAGGAGCTGCAATTGCCCTTCATATATGATACATGCCTGATTCT